AATAGCCTCCATAGCACCCACTACATTATTCCTACAGTTATAGAGCAGTGATACATCATTTGATCTACACCAGATTTATTGTACATCATCAGTGAGCACTTCTAGACACATTGATATGGTGGTTTAACATATAACTCATGTTGGTTTAACATATAACTCAAGTGCACTTCCTAGATTATTCCAACAGTTATATCTCAGTGATGCATCATCCGATATGCGCCAGATTTATTTTGCATCCTCAGTGAGCACTTCTACACACATTGCTGTTGTTGTTTAACATTTCACTCAAGTGCGCCCCACACATTATTCCAAAAGTTATATCTTACTGATCCATCATCCGATCAGGACCTGATTTTTTTGTGCTTCATCACTGAGCACTTGTAGACACATTGGTAATGTTGAGTCATGACATTACTTAAGCCCCACCCACTCAGATAAAAAAACTGTCTTATTGGATGACTCTTCCAACATTGCACTGTGTAAGATATTAGACTGAAACTTTGTTCAATAACTGTTGATTACCACACATGACATGTTGAAAAGCATAAAGGAAGTGCTCGTCAAACATTCACCACAAAACAGCAAGTCTTCCTGTCTGGAAGGTCAGATTTCGCCTATACTTGTAAGGCCTTCAGCTGGACAAGTACTGACATGGATGGAAGGGGTTGTCGAAGATTCGAGAAATGCGACCCACGGTGAACATGTGCGGGATTGGAACGAGCGCGCTCGCGATGGCAACTGGGTGAACTAGCTGGAGCTCCTGCGGTCGCCATAAGGCCGGAGCGGCGCTTTGCTGCGAGGGCCTCCAATGCTGTTTACAGCTTTAATTTGCTGTGTTACTTCTGGTATTTACATAGAGATAAACCAGTAAATCCTGATGTTATCTGATGTTCACTCTTTGTAGCACTTTGAGATTCACTGTGAATGTAAAGTGCATTATAAATAAAAGTTATTATTATTATTATTATTAAAGCACAAACAAACTTGAGCAACAAGGCTCCGTCTGTGTCGGGAGAGAAAAAAAACCCTCCAACTGAGCTCCGCACTTTACACAGAGCATTTCGTTCACTAGCGGTGGAACAGCCACGCTGCATTCAAGAGCATAGGAACTATTCAATTCATACAGAAACAAGCCATAACCAAACAGAACCTCATTCAGTAAACAAACCAACACAACAATGTGGGCTTTCTAACAGCTTTGTTAATAAAGGTTAATAAAGGTTGAATTAATTTACTTCATTAGAATCAGACTTTTTAAAGATCAGTCTTTCATTGTTCAGTTCAAACTTTCCAAGTTTTAGTTTTACCTTTTACTCTGACTTTAAGTACATTTTATATGAGAAATTTACTTTTGATACCTAAGTACATTAAATGTCAGATACTTTTACTTAAGTAATTATTTTAAAGGAGACTTTAACTTATACCAAAGTAATTTTATGGTAAGATGCTTGCACTTTCACTATCACTTTTATTTTATACAACACTGATTATACCTGCTTGCCAACTACCCCTCTTGATTTGGATTGAAAATTGGACTAAAAAACTTGATCAGACCATTCTTTAACTAATTTTCCACTATCTGTAGAGAGCACATGGGTCTGCTGTATAAAGACGATATCAGTGTTCAGCTGTTTTAGGTGACATAATTTTCTGGAATTTTACTGGTGTTTCGCTTACCCGAGTGTGGTAGGCACAGGACACGTGCCACGCCCTCACTGCAGCCGTTCTCCTCCAAGGTGTCTGAAACTAATCCTGAGGCTCAGGTATTACCCTTAGTTATTTTCCAGGACAGCATAATTTAAGGCTGTGTTGAGATGATTCACCCAGACTGTTAACTACCTTCGATCCGTGCACCACACCCAAAGTCTCACCTAATGCCTCGCCTGACCTAGCAGCAGGAGTGGGGACGTTTGGCATACGAGGAAGCGCACGTTAACAACAGCCCATCTCCTGATTTAGCGTTGCAATTGTTATCCGATCTGGCTTTGTTTAGAATCTAGGTATAAGATTCTTGGATGCTGTTTTGTAATCAAAGCTACAAAACCTTTAAAAACCTCCCATGCTTTTGTTGTTTCACTGAACCAAGTTTCCACTGCCATGAACAAAGGGGTGTTGAAATAAGAATCCATAATTTTACGTTTTGCTTTGCTTTAATCAATGATTTTGTAGGGGAAACAACGGTATGCACAATCCAATCACAGTGATTACATTTGATTACAAAGAAGATACATAGTGATTCATACTCTGACTTTAATTATAATCCAGATGTTGACCTTTCCTGGGCAAAGTAGTTCTCTTTCCCTGTGGGGAGTTGGAGGATAGCTGTAGACTTGCTCCGTTCAGCCTCAGATGTTTTTCTGCTGGCCAGACACGCCCTAGGAGTCCTTTGGTGTCCTGACTCACTCAAGAGCTCCAATACCCCCCACAGTCTCCCTACGTTCACTACCTGCCCCAGTATGTTTTTCCTCACCACATTAACCAACCTTTTGACAACTCCAAGCAATTAAATTTAAATATAATTGATCTTTCTGCTTGCAATCTTGTAAGCTACCGCTCTGTACTGAAATAAATTTTCATAAAGGACAATATATGCGAGACGTCTTCTTACCATTTGCCTTTTAGTGGAATTCCTGAAAATCCCGGCTCAGTAAGGAGCAGATTTCCCCACTCACACCTGAATGGGGCTGTCTCTGGTCCTGCAGCTGGTCAGAATTTGAAGAAAAGGGTTCAAGCATATAATCCAGGCTGAGGAAGGAAATGATTCCAAACGAGCCCCTCCAACGGATCTGCCCCAATTCTCCCTCAGCTGGAACCGTCCACAACTTGTCCTTACATCCACACGCTTTAGTAGTCCAACAGCGCCTGTTTCACAGAATCATCTGTAATTATAGAGTGTAGTTTGACTGACACCTCCGAAAGACTATGCCTCCCGCTTAATCCAACCTTTTTTGGGCTGGAGCTGGCTCAGGATTACATGCATGTCTATGGAGAAGATCACATCACTTCTTATACATATTAAAATCTGGGTGTAACTTATTTTGTCCGGTTTTGCCCGGACATGTCTGAGTCAACTTTTATATTGCTTGGAGCTGTTTTCGGGTTCGTTATTATGAAATACTCTCTGCTTGTATAACTCTTTACTCACACAATGCTTCTGAAAACATTTTCTGAGAACACAGTTTTTCTTCCTTCTTAAACTCTTAACATTGTAAAACAATACAGAATACATTTTAGAATCACAAAAGATTACATTGTTAACTTTATTAACTTTACTTGAGTCCCTTGTAATAACAAATAATTTTTCTATATTTAAAATATAACAGTTTCAGCTGAGGGAATGTTTCCCATCCTTCTCTTTTTCCCTTCTCTCCTTCACTCCAATTGTGTGTGTGTGTGTGTGTGTGTGTGTGTTTGAGTGTGTACGTGCATGTGTGTGTTTGTACAGTGTGTGAGTTTGTGTGAGTTTGTGTGAGTGTGTGCGAGCATGTGTGTGTTTGTGCAGTGTGTGTCTTTCTCCAGCATCTGTCTCTCGTTATCACAGGCCTGAACAAGAGCATGCCCGGACCTGTCTGAGGGCAGACTGATTCCATTGTAGCAGCTTTATTGACACTGGGCCATTAAAGGATTTCACATTCCAGCTTAGACACTTAACTGGGCAGCCACTAGAGTGGTCAACATCCTTAACGCTGGTCATAATTGAACAAGAAACAATAATTTACATACAGAATTTCACAAGCCAATACCTGATAAAAGAAACAAAAAAACCTAAGACTGATCTGGTATAAACCCACCCCTCTCTCCTACCCGAACACAGAAAGAACAAAAAACACTGTCAACTGAAAAGCCGCACATTAGTGATTACCTAGAGAACACAATCCGGCCATCTGGTCTCCTGCCTGCCTACATTTGATATAATAGTAATTAAAAAATACACAGATAAACAACAAAATATACAAATATTACTGTAAATATCAAACGTGTACGGCACTGTGGAATTACTCTCACACACAAAAAAAAAAAGGAAAACCCTCCTATAATATGGGTGTGCACTAAATACCAGAACTCACAATAATCAATTCATAGTGTTAACATTGTACACTTGCCCTTTGATACAAATAAACTGTTGTACATACCACCACCACAGGAACACAGCCAAATATTGAGTTGTACACAAGCTTAAGAAAAATTGCTTGTTGAGGGAGACCAGTCCTGTGGTTTATTTCAATCTATTTTGATCCTCGCTGCCCATTGCTGGAATTACATTTTTCTTGACATATTCTATCACTTTAATGGAGTCGACATATACCTTGTCTGTCCGTCCATACGTGATGCAAAGCCGTGCAGGAAAAGGTGACCCCTGGTTGGTTCCACAGGAGTCGCTTCATCTCGGTGAATGCTGCTCATTACCTCGCCACTCCTAAGGTGTAATCCACTGCGATGAATATGGATGATTCTATGAAGTGGATTGGGCCACCGCTGCATGCTCGTTGTAATATTTCCACACTTTCTTGATGATAATGAAGCCTTGCCATGAGAACTCTTGATCCCTCATTCGAGCCTCTTCTGCCCAGTACACATTATAAATCAGAGGCAACTTGCCCTGCTTCAGCACCTCCATTAGCATTTTAGCTATCACCGTAGGTGTGCACCTGCCCACTGACTCGGGAAGTCCAATAATCCTGATATTGTCATGTTTCATATGTCCTTCCACCGATTCAAGCTGTTTCTTAAGCCCATTTTCTTCACTTTTTAACTCCATCACTGTCCCACGCAGCCTTTCCATCTTATCTGAGCATAAAGACAGCCTGTTCTCAGTCTCTGAAACACCCATTTTATCTCGGTCAAACTCTGCTATGAGGCCTGAGGTGGAATTAGCAAGTTCTGCTTGGACCGCCTGCATTTGGCTCTTAGTAAAATTAAAATCATCTGTCAGAGCCGCTCTTATCTCCATCCTAATTATTGCTATGACTTCAGATTTAACTGAGACCAAAATGTCTGACCTCAGAGCCGTCTCGTCTGTCCCTCCAGAGCCTGGTGAAGGTGGCACCTGTAAGTCCACCTGCTTCTCTATCACGTCAGCCTGAGGCTGCTTCTGCGATGACGGTCTGCATGGGGTAGACACCATTGCCTTCGACTTTTTTTGTTTAGAGGCCATGTCACAGGTCTGTCAAGTTAGTAATGTGGCGACACCAGTCTCAGAGAAAAAATCCAGCATGAAATTAGAAATGATATGATTATAAAAGGCAATTTTTAAGTGGGGCTGACGGGAGCTCAGCAAGACACAGTTCATTGGTCCGGTGCCATAGCAACCAGTTTAACCCAGTTCTTTCTACAGGTGCTGTGAGTCATGGGAAGTTTCAAGGGCCACGCTCTCCCTGGGAGCTTCTTCTATGTGGCAGGAATCTGGTGGACAGGAAAGTACTCGCTGTGGCATGCTACCCGCAAAAACAAGAACATAGGTTCCACTCGTTTCGCCAGCAGAGCCTCACAGCAGCGCCTGGAGATAATTGAAAGCTCTGTCATCCTTTTCTTCTCCTTTGTTGGTAAGCAGATGTTTGTCTCTGAATGGTTTAGGTGAGGGCTTTTGGTTAACAAAGCTGATCAGAGGAATCTTCTGCTATACTCCACAGGAATGTTGGCTGAACAGTTTGTAGCTGATGGGCCAAGGCTGCATTTGTATGACTTTACAGAGAAACACTGGAAGTACCTGCATAACTGGCAACACGCTACCATGTACCTATTCTTTGGCCTTGCAGCCACTGTCTCTCTTATTATCCACACCACAGAAGCAGCACCACTGGCCCTGGACAGGTTGATGCTGTGCATCGCTTTCTTTAATGAAGGTAAGCAATAATACACCAACAGCAAATGGGTGATAATGGTTTTGCCTATATTTGTGTGTATGTCTGTTTGTTTGTATGACTAGTAACAATATATCATTAACCACTTATCAGATTTTATTAAAACTCTCAGATTTTTTTTTGGGG